CAGCGTGTTCCTAGGTATACAATTATATTGTAAGGTTTCAATTTCTTGCCGATGTTGTAGGTACCTTTTCTTACTACTATCATGAAATAACGGGTGGTGACAGTTTCAACTTAAAAATTGAAATTGTAAGTTCTTGGTCAATAGTTTGTCGAAACCGTCAAAATTTGATGACAATTTGAAAATCTTTGCTCTCATCAGCTCGCGAAAGACAGAACACCGACTAACCGAAGCTGTTGCTGGATGTAGCATGATTGATAGATACCTAGTCACTGCCACATGTGGATATTTGCTACTAATTGTAGGCTCGTTATTGTTTAATAAAGATTTTTTTTAATATTGGATATCGATTTGTTAAGTTGACCCTTAGGCATGGCTCGATAACGGCTCCTATCTCTAACTGAACAGAATTTGAAGTTTTCCATGATAGATTATAACATGGGAAAGAGTTATTGTTTAATTCAAATTCTTGTTTTGCTAAACTTGATTTTGTAAATTTCTACTGCAAATCATGAGGTATAAAATTTAATTTTTTCATATCATATACTTAGATTGTGAAACAGTATAATTGTTATAGGTTTAGTTTAAAATTGCCTACATTCCACAAAACAATCTATATAATGATGAACAACAAGGAGGGTAGTTAGACATTTTTCCCTAAACTTATTTATTTTTACGCAATTTTCAACTGAGTCCTAATTAAGATGGTATAACACCCTGTCTGGCCTTGTATTGAATGAGGCTTGTAATACAGATAGCGTCCGTACGTTGTCGGTTACGTTCAATAGGGGTGATTAGCTATTGATTGCAATGAAGTGGTCTATTAATTAAGCGGTCGCGTTTCTGCACAAAGGGTGTCTGTACGCGATTCTTTTTTTTTTTCCAGGGATAGGGGCATTATCGACAAGCCGTGTCAGAGAGAGATAATAAATTTTCAATGCTGCAGGTTAATATTTATTTATAAGTCTCGAATGTGCGTGCATTTTAATTGACGATGTGTGACTAGGGTCGTCGGGAGGGGAAGGAGAAAGCTAGAGCAAGGGTGAGTCGGACTTGCGCACCGAGGATTACCTACTAACTTGTAGATAAGCAAATAGTTTGGGTTGAAGATTTTTCTCGGTTTTTCCGGGTAGGTTTTAAGTTTCCACAAAAATCAGTTAACAAAACGTAAAATTTACAATATTACAATTAAAACATCCCTTTTTTGTGATGTAAAAAGTAATCGAAAATAAATTATTAACTAATGCGATTTTAATCTTGTTAGTATACGGCCTTGTCAGTAGCAGCAAATATCCATTAGATGGCGATACATTGTCTCTATTTGGATGTTCCTTGCAAAATAATTATTTGACATGAATAATGCCAGACAAATATACAAGCTTACTAAAATGGCGATACATTGTCTCTATTTGGATGTTCCTTGCAAAATAATTATTTGACATGAATAATGCCAGACAAATATACAAGCTTACTAAAATGGCGATACATTGTCTCTATTTGGATGTTCCTTGCAAAATAATTATTTGACATGAATAATGCCAGACAAATATACAAGCTTACTAAAAATTACCTCTTCTATTGAAATTAATAATTAGATTAAAAAAAATCACTGGTAAGAAATTAAAACGTAAAAAAAATTTAATTTAAAGTTTTAATTCGTATAAGTTGAATAGTGAGAATAATTTCGATATGGTTTGCGGGAGCGTCCTTTATTAAGAGTTAAAAACTTTTTTTCCTTTGGTTGGTAAACGACTTCGGTGGATCTGAAGAAGACAGCGCGAAATACAGCGCGGTGCCCTTCATGAAACATAAATTTCTGGCGACGACACCGATTTCTTATTACTTGCGTTTTTGTTGAAAAGCTGTTGGACGATTTCCAATGGAAAAGGGGAATTTATGACGTCGGAGACAGCGGCGACGCTTCTTCGTATACACGTGGAAAAACTGAACAACAGAGCGCCAGTTTATTGCATCTTTGTCAAAGACATTCGGAAATAGGCGTATAATAAAGTCGTCAGCAATTCAAAACAAAAAAAAAAACAAACCGGGAAACGATAGAAAAATGGAAAATTGTAAATGGAAAAAGTAGGGGCTGTATGAGAAAAATAAGACTCTTATTCAGTATCTACGATAACTAATAATCGTCCTCCTTTCTTTTTCAATAAGGAGAGAACAAAATAAGAAGTTAGTTGATAATAGTCATGGAACAATTTTGATTTAATCGGTGACCTATAGGAATTGTAGGTTGGGTCATTTAAAGTGGTAATTCAGGCAATAAAACTGTCAAGAAATGACCATCTATACGTGTAGATGGAATTATAATTTTGCCATTCTTCTAAGGAAACACTTAACCACTTGTGCCTTCAGAACTCGTATCAAGATAAAATATTGTCCCTTACCATTGTCACTGAATACGGCTTATAAATATGCTGAACTCTTAATAACTTAGTCTGACGTTATTTACTAATATTATCAACAATTTAAAATCCCATTGTTTACCAATTTTCCTTTTAGTTTCTTTTTAATGTATGATTGCATATATCATTATAAAAATCGTTTATACAGAGTACTAAACTAATGTAAATCTTTACTTTTAATGCACCAAATTTTATAAATTTCACTAATTTGTTATTTCCAGTAGTACGACTCAATTTATATTTATATTCATGATAGTAGAAATCTAAATGGCTTACATTAATTTTTCTTTCAATTAGCACATTTGGTAGTAATGTAGATGGTTAGGCCGCCTACACTTATAAGCTTAGTGCTAATGGGCACCCTCATTTTTCACCGAAACATATCCATTAAATAAGAATATTCTTTTTAACGTCATCGTTAATTTCATGTCACCGTAATCGGCGTACGTTTTCGTAGTCGGAATGTTTGTGGAATCGTATATGCGACACTTTTGTTGAATGTCTTCCGGAATATTCATAACGCTCAGGAGAAAACATTCCAGTTCGTAATATTGCGCTTAAACCATTAATTTTCCCGGTTCCGTGCCACCCCATTTCAAATCCAACTCTTTTGCGTTCTTATATTATACACGACGCTCTATGGACGGATAGATTGCTAGCCAGAGACGTGTTTTGCCGCTCGCCGATTATACTGTGCCCCGGCTAATGTAATAACTTCGCGAGTTCTGTAGAATTTTATGCATATTGCACGCCACGGCGACGGCCAAAATTTATCAAAGGAAAATTTACATAATTCCGAAAAAAAAGGTAGGAAATTGCGACACCCAGGAGCTGATGTCTCCCTCAAAAATTGTTATTAAGCAAATGGCAGTAGAGGCAAGTAAGCTATTTCAGCATTTTTTCTCATTTAATCTTTTTTTTTTTTGGGTAAAATGTGAACTTACACCTTTATCCTACAGCAGAGTGGTGTGATCTTCCACACTGTACATATAGAATTTTTCGAATATTATAACTTCCATAATAATTTTCCGATTCCTTTGATAAGTAACTTAACATCTATCTACACAAAGGAATGAATGAAAAATAATTAGTAGGTATAGACAGGTTTTTAATACTTTTATGGGGATTCCATTTTATAAGATGTAACCGGCGTAGATAACTTAAGGATGTTTGGGAGGTATGTCAAAATGCTACGAGACAAATAAAAATTTGGAAGAACGTTCCTCATTCAATTTTAAAAATCCTGTAACAATTACAAATCGATTCACTAAACAGTTAAAAAAATTGTAGTTTTACACGATTCGTTAACCGAACAGATTAAATTTATTTTTATTAACAAAAAAAAAGCTACCAGAAATTTCAAACTTTCATAATAAGTAACTTGAACTCTGGAGAATCACTTTAGCGTAAGGTTATTCAAATTCACTAAATGGTTATCGAGGAAAAAATGAAAAATTAGCTGAAAATCTCGTTTTTACTTGATAATATAATGATAATATTTATAATTGTCTGAAATAAATGCAATTTTAAAGTTTTAATTATTATTTAAACATATTAAAAAGTTTTACGCTCATTATTAATAGAGATTGAAACTAAATATTTTTTTGTTTCGAAGTTGAAATCAAGGCATATTCACTGCCAAAAGTCAGTTAAAAATTTTCCATATTATTCGTTATTTCTTATTTTATTCAAAGTTTTTGGTCAAATTCCAAATTTTCTCTCAAACCGTATACTTTTTTTTTAGTATAGATAGTATTTATTTACCTCATGATATGCTGCAAAAACTAATTAATCACAAATTTCTAATTTTATGTACTCTTGTCTCCGATTGTACCTCCCAAACATCCTTAATACATGCACGTACATTCATCGATGCGCATTCAAAAACATTATTGTGCATGCTGAAAAACGTCACGCTGTTGCTTGTTCCGTCGAAAAGTACGTCGTGTTACCTTTTATATTTTCATCAGAAATCATTCACGAACGTTGAATGTCCCCAAGGAGACCATAAAAACCGTACACACGGGCGTAAATGACTTTTCAAATTTACGTGCATTTATCGACACGCATCCATAATCGCCACGTCGTTTCTTTTACGATTAAAAAGTACGTCGCATTTATAAAAGTAAATTTTTATAACGTGAGATTTCAGTGTAAATACTCTCTCATTTATGCCCATGTATATCAGGCAATAAGGGAATTTTTCGAATATTTTCGTTTTTTTTCTTCGGGTTTTTCATGTAATCTCTTTAAAGAGTTAATTTAAGTCGAGAAAAAGTAAAAAATGTATGTTTGTGCTATTTTCAACTATTCAATTGCAGAGAGAACTAACTTAAATACATTATCGGTTTCTGCCACAACAGGGTTCCCTATACCCGGATGGTATTGGGACTATGTAAAAGTAAAACTTTTACTTTGAGTAATAAAACTGCGAGTCTTGCTGACCCGGATGAATTTCTGTACTTTATTTATATCGATATACCTACGAAACAATTTGATTTAATCATTTGGAAAAACAATCAACAAGGTAACATAATGCAAGTGTGTATATCAAAGTTTAAACGAAATAGATTTTACGATAAAGATTTATTGAATGCACGATGTCAAAGCCATGACAGAGAAATTAATATCATTTTCTGCCTTTTCGATGTATTCTTTGCACACTTTTGCTGCGTCTTCCAGAAGTTTTCCCGGTTCGGTGGGTCCGTGGTTTATCGGAAATTCCTTCTTGCCATCTAACTCATACAAGTACCCGTTGTTGTGAACGAGAGCGATAAAATGGTGACTGGACCCTTCATCTGCATTCACTTGGGTCTGGCCTTCCCCTGCTAGTTCCTTATGGGCGTCGACAATATCCTGGCAATTGCTCTGCAAAAGTTCGCCACGTTCTTCGGGGGTGGCATTCTCCGTTTCTTCCAATGCCTTCTTCAATCCACCTTCGTTAAGGACAATTTGATCCCTGTTGTTAGCGATGCTGTGAATCAAGGCCGCAGTGCCGCAGGCGTTCGCGGCTGTTTGTCTGAAGAAGTACGGCTGCGGTGAAATTACTTGTCCTTTGTCCTTTATCTCCTTGCACTTTTCTTCCATATATTCGTTGATTTTATCATTGCATGGGTACAGAAGTATGACCGATAGAACCGGTCGTGGTACCCACTGTAGCGACTCACGGTCTAACCCGTACACATCAACCACATTCCATCGTTTCGGTACTCCCAATCTCTGCATAAGCTTGTTGAGCACATCAGGATTCGACTCTAACGGAAGCCAATTCATTTTTTGCTATTTTTGGTTGATCTTGTGGAGATTTTTATATTAGCATTCTCTTCTGAAGTTTTTTTGTTATTTGTGTCAAAACTTACGCCAAATTGTGTACTGTCTATTGAACATCCGGACTTCCATGAAAACTTTTGTTTTTGTAGTGTGATTTACTCGCGCTTTTTTTTAAGAAGATCATAGCTGTGAAAGTCGTTTGACACATATGGGAACAATTAACTTGCCAGGAAATGTTTACCTAAATAATAGTTGTATGCATGTTTCGGGTCTGGGATATATAAAATGAAAATTTACTATTAATACTCGTTCATCATCATCATCATAGGGTCGTCAGTCCTAAGACTGGTTGGACACGCATCTCCACTCTTTTCTATCCTGAGCTACACTTCGCAATTCCCTAAAACTAGAACAACCCACATCCTTAACTATTTGCGAACAGTAATCTAATCTAGGTCTACTTCTACCCCTCCTAACTCCTGTTTCTGCCTCTAATATGTCTCTGACTAGACCCTCATGCCTGAGAAGGTGTCCTACCAACCTATCTCGCCTATTTTTTTATTGACTTCCATAGAGTCCTCTGTTCTCTTATTCTTTCCAATACCTCTTCATTTCTAACCTTTTCTACCCACGATATCCTCATTATCCGCCTATAACACCACATTTCGAACGCTTCTAACCTTTTCTTTTCCGCCGCTCCCACTGTCCATGTTTCGCACCCGTACAACGCCGTGTTCCAAACATACACCTTTAACAACCTTTTTCGAATTTCTAAATTAACATTTCGCGAGCATAGAAGTGACTTCTTTTTATTAAAGGCGACACGACCCTGCGCTATCCTCTGCTTTATATCCCTACTACTCCTTCCGTTAGATATCCAGATTTGGTTTGGTAAATAAAGTACAACCAGTAGTAGTTTGGTCAATTAAATACGTAATAAAACCGTTCACACACTAGAAATGACCACGATCCAAAAATAAACTACATATGCACAAAATAATTCAGTCTCATATTTTAACAACAAATCGAACATGAAACATTTGAAACATTTGGTACTAAGTTTTGGTAACTTATGAGCAGTTCTTGATTTTAGTTTAAGTTTTATGTAAATAAACACAGTTATTAATTGATTTCTGCAATGGGTTGTTGGCCTAAAGATAGAGTTTTGTTGATATTAAATTTGAATTGGAAATTTATGGTGTGTTTGAAAGATAGGTAGCGTTACTATATCTAATAAAATGTTTTCTAACATGTAGAACATTACACATAAGTTTCATTCCACACGTACGTATGTAACAATAATTATATTCAGTGCCCAAAGTAAATTTCAGATTAATAACTATTGTTTCACATCGGGAATAGTGTTTTATAATTTGAAAGTTAAAATGGTGTTTTTAAAAAACAAAATTAGATAAATGTTGCATTTGAAACTCATTATAACCAGTAAGCATCAGCAGAATCAGATTCCGATGTAATAGTGGTAGTGGTATACATGTAATCGTAATAACAAGGTACTCAAATCCTTCACTGACCGAATTAAAAATCCATGACATTTACTTGTAGTGGATAGTTATGCCGGGGATAAGGCCACTTTTACGTAATATCGGATTTGTATTAATGTTGTTTTTAATATACGCGGATGAATGAATTAAGTAGGTATCTAATTCATTTCGCAACAATTTTAACTTTCAATTTTAAATGCATCGTTATAGAAGTTTCCTTACCTGGTAGTTGTGTTGATGGGCACAGATCCGAAGTACAAGGTGTCGATTGGGTATCTTTTCCATTACACTGTTTCCTACTGCTACTTGATCCAACCCCAATACATTGTCGTTTTCTAACTTTTACACAATCTGCAGTGCACTGGGACCAATCAGACCAAGCTGACCATTTGGGTTGTTCTGTTAAAAAAAAAAACATTTAATACTGGAAAGTAAGAGTTTTTTTGACTCGCACACCGCACACTCCAAAACAAAGACCTTGAAAACATCATTTAATTTCAAAAACAAAAATTTAGTGAAAAAATAAATTTTGTTCTTCAATTATTAGCCAGTTATTGAAATGGTGAAGTTAGTTAGGTTTAGTGAATTACCCCGAAGGAACTTACCTTTCTCTGCGATGTCAATTTCATATGTGGAGTCCAAGACCAGCTCTTCTACAGATTTGTTAGAAGCGTAAGCGTTTGAAATATTAAACAGGGTGTTAGCAAAGCGATAATGTTAGTACTAATTAAGCAAATACGAAAAAATGCATGAAACAGAGACACCTAACTATAGGGCAAATAGCTTAAAGACGTGAATTTACGTCTAATGTATTACGTGTAGGTATTAATTATATCTAAATATTTTTTTATGTAAGAACATTTCTTATACTTTCTTTGCCCTACTTATGTTTTAGAACAACAAATTCATTCCAATTTCTTTTATTTTTGTGCAACCATTTATTATATGATGAAAAAAGAGATCTTATGATCGAAGAATTCCTTCAGAATGTAATTACTGCGTTAATTTATTAACTAAAAAAATCTTACAATATTTGGTGGCTACAAACTATTTTTAATGTAATCCTAAGCTCGTTTTACTTATAGGGCAGCTTTACAACGACTAATGTTTTCTCGAACTAACATTTATAGCTGTTCTAATTTGATAAGCATAATGATAATGACAAAAATCCATGTATTTTTTCTCAAAGATAGTAAGTAAAATGATTGCCGAATGTTTTCAATGAACAGCAAAAAGCACTACTAATAAATGCTATATTTTGGGTGAAAACAAATGACATCATTAACGTTAACAAATCAGTAAAAAATTGTTACATCAGGTGTTTTTAAACTTTTAACAGAACTATTTCCTTTTCTGCATGAATTTTCTTCTATTAGGAAAAAAGTTACTAAAGCTGGCAATATAGTTGAACATAAAAATATTTTTTTTACCTGGAGGGCATGGTTGACAGTCCTTGGTCCTTTGTACAGAGATACCAGGACATTGCAACCCACCATTACTAGGAGTAGGATTTGTGCAGGTTCTGGTTCTTTTTTGACCTGATCCTAAGGTTGAACCAGGACAGTGGCAATCTGTCCAAGCTGACCATTGTGACCAACCACCATTAACTGCAAAAAAAAAATACATGAAAAAATGATTGTCATGTAGTCTATCATTTCCATTACTAAAAACTGATTGTGATATGGCAATGTAGGATTAAATCAGTTCTTATATTTGTTATATAATATAATAGACTCCATACACCCTAAAATACCGCGAATGTTGTGTACGTAATCAAATATGTTAAAATTGCAACTTTTTTACTGATCGTAAAGTCATAATTTGTTGTTTTAATAAAGCATGGGTGCAAACTTTATTTTATTTTCGGAAACTGTTAAATCGTTTTTTGCATATATCATAATTTCTGATAAGAATGTTTGTTAATTACGTTCGAATACGTCTATTTTATATTTATTCTTATAAAGTAGACATTCGGTTATAATAAACAATTTCCTTAAGTTAGCTTAAAAGCTGAGTTTTCCCAAGACGAGAACGTACTTCCTGAAACTTATAATTGCCGATTTAGAACTGTTATTGTATCTTAAATTGTAACAGCTAATGCTAGAAGTGTGATAGAATTCCCTTTTTTGTTATTCATGTTAATTACTACGTCGATTTAGCGATGAGACTCGTAATAGAGAATCGTTGTTGCAAGTAAAATGGAACAGAGTACCTATTTATGTAGGTAGTTGTTGTTATTTTGACGTTTGTACGCCTTTCGTAATACCTACATGCATTAAAAGTGCTTATTTTCCGCACGAGAGGGCAACAGTGGCAGTTGCTGTTTTTGCTGTTGCTCTTTGAAAATACGACAAATGGAAAATGTATTCGATGCTTTTTCAAGTTTTAAAAGAGATGAAACAGGCAGCGTGGAAACAAAGAGGGCTTCGTCGAAGTTAAAACTTACAGCAGTTGACATTATCCTGGAGGATTAACTGGAAACCGTGAAGTGAAGTTTATAGCGGGAGCTTAGCGTGCTCCCGATTGTTTTTTACCATGCAGCCTCGAAGGTGATGCAGACGTTAGCGTTTCAATGTACTGAGAGCCCTCTTTCAGCGCCGCTTTTGTTCGGGGGGTACTTTTACCGTAAAACGGGACTTTTCTCATGCGAATGTTTGATCTCTAGAAAATGAACCGTGCGAATACTGAAAGGAAGATTAAAAAGACGAATCTCCTACACACTAAAGCTTACATAAAAAACATGTCTACGAAATGTTTCAAGCAATAATGAAAATGTGCGCATTTTTTTCAGACAACAGAAATCTTTGGAAATTTTCTTCTTTCTTTATGACAATCAAGACCTAAGCACAATTTGTTTCACTGTACATTTGCGATTTTTATTTTACGATTAATTTTTCCTCGTAGGTACTTAGAGGTATTAGAAAAAATAGGAAAACAGAGGACTCTATGGAAGTCAATAAAAAATAGGCAAGATAGATTGGTAGGACACCTTCTCAGGTATGAAAAGGTCTAGTCAGAGTCATATTAGAGGCAGAAACAGGAGTCGAGAGAAGTAGATGTAGACCTAGATTATATTACTGTTCGCAAAAAGTTAAGGATGTGGGATGATCTGAAGATTAGTTCAGGATAGGAAGGAGTGGAAGTGCGTGTGCAACAAATCCTAAGACTGACGACCTTGAGATGATGAGGTACTTAAAATTTGAAAATGTGTTTAGAACAAAGCTTATTGAAATAAATCGTCACTTGACTCATTCAAGTAAAGAAATACTAAACGTTTAGCATTTAGGGTAAATTAAATTGCCCATGCATCCTTACAACACAACCGAAATTACTGAAACAAAACTGTTCTTTATTTATTATAATATACACTTTATCCTGTTACCTAAACTGTTCGATATGCTTTGCTTATATTCCGACTAGAATTATAAAAATATTGATCTGATGTATCAGTTTTTTACAATCTTTAATTTTCGATGATTTTTTTGCTCTTCTTAGCACTACCAGCGGGAACAGTGATGAAGCGGACGATGATAGCGGTCTCGAGGTTTCAAAAAGCGAGACCCGCATTATTATACCTCGCATATATTTAACGTTGACTAGGTATATCCGAAAAAGAAACAGGTCTGTCATTTTATTTATATTTAATGACCGCTTCGTATTTATTTATCGTTGTGCGGCGTTTACGGCGCGTGGGCGTGTGTGGTCCATTTCGAAAATTTAAGGAGTCGTCCGCGAGTCGTCGCTCCTTTATTTTTGACCGACGGACCAGTCCGTCGCCGTATTGTGGGTACAATACACGTGGATACATGTTAGTCTTTTAATGGCCATCTGGGATACTAAACGCTGTCACGGATAACAACGAACAATAATGAATTGCCGATAGCATTAACCGGATTGCTCTGGAATATATTAAAGTCCAGGAAGTTCTAGGAGATGCATACCGAAAATCAAGTTACTGTTATATATCATTTTAGCAAGAAAAATTGCAGACTTTTGGGAAATTGTAAGTAAATACGATATTGTGAACCGAAAAAAAAATAGTTGTTCACACCATCAATTTCCTTACGTTAGTGAAAATTACATTTAATGTTTCAATCCAAGTTACCCAAAGTATAATCACAGAGAAACATTGAGCAGGGCAGACTGACCTGGAAGTGACCTGGGGCTGCTGTCCTCTCGAATGCTAAGCAATGGTCTAAATCTCTAGGTCATGCCGCTCGGTTTAAGCAACAGTCCAAGTAGTAATGTGTACAAAAATAATTGGGGCGTGTATGTAAGACGCAGATAACACAACTACTACTACACAATTTACAGAAATTGGGAAATATCGTTTGTATAAGCGAAGGTTCAATTTGTTCTTGGTATAGGTACAGTGGCGTAATAGTATAATTAATATTCTGTTCATAGTCTGGAGGGTTTCCATTATAGAATGTTCATGCTATCGAGTCTCTTCTGTAAATAAAGTATAAATATACCTAACGTTCAATCAAAGTTATGAATTCGGCTGTCATTCGTGAAAAATTAAATAAAAAAAAATGCATTTTTTTTTTGCTAACTACGGATGGGAGTAAATATCAGACATTAGTCAAATGAAATCTGGAAAACCTACCCAATACCCCCTAAAACGTCCTCGGCTATAAGCGAATACTTATATTTATCCCAATATCTTTATAAAAAATTTATTTCAAAAACAATCGCATAGGTCAAATGTTCGTTTTCATTGTAGTTCATTATTATTTTACTAGGTGTTGCGAATGATTAGTCTGTGGGCATGTTCTTGATGAACTGATTAGTGTTGTCTCTTTTCCGAGGAGGTTTAAGGTGCTCCGGAAGGTGGTCCGGTAATTCACCCCCTTCCAGCTTGACATTAATGAGATGCATGGCCAAAGCAAATTCGTCTCTATCTAAAAATCCGTCTCTATCTACATCTGCCAATTTCCAAATTTTTCCGAGTACTGAATTAGGCAATTTTGATTTGATCATTTCCTGTTTGGCGATCGTTCCCGATAACTTTCCTCCTTCAGGATTTAACATGTCAAATACCGCGTCGTACGTCGCCCTGGCCTTGTTAACAATCCACTCTGGATCCCCGTAACCGGCATTGACCCCTTCACCTTGGTTATGGCCGAAGGGTGAAGATTTATCGTTGATACATTCGAAAGCGCCGCCCCTCACTTCCGTCTGCTCTGACATAGTCGATAATTCGTGAGGAACCATCGCCATTAGCTGAGATATATCCTCTGCTAACATCTTGTTAACAACTTCTATTAGTTTAGGTTTGAGGCTATGGAATTTGCTGAAATCAAATTTGGCCAAGTGGTCTTGCATTTTCGTGAGTTCGGGCAAATCGCCTACCGAAATACCATGTTCAGCTTGTACTTTTTCGTAAATTTTTCCCAAATTCTTGATTAGTTCGTTTTTCTTTGTTTCTTTTCCGAACACGTTAGGCATTTCCCGGCGCAGTTCGCTTATAATATACGCATGGACAACAGCCAGTCGGGATCTTTTAATCAAGTCGTTAAGCTTTCGTAACGCCGCGTTCTTTGGTAACGATTGAAAATCCCTGAACAAGTCGTGAGATTCGTCTTCGAAAAGTTTCCGGTTGTACGCGTATCTCAAAGGCTGGTCCCAAAAAGAACCGATATAAACGCGGGCAACTTCGGGAGATTGAAGCACTTTTCCCAAAGACCACATCAAAGCGCCATAGACTCTCATAAGTTGCTGCTGATCTATCATATCCGCTTTGTTTAAAACTATTCGAATTTTGTCGTCGTGACCTCTCAGTGCTTCTATGGTACGTCGGAATTCGTCTGATATGTCTAACTTGTGTGCATCGAATAGCAGGATGATCCTGTCTACCCTTTCGGCAAACCACTCAAGCACACCGACAAAATCGTATCCTCTATCGATGCGTTGTTTTTCTCCTGCCAGTATACCTGGAGTGTCTATAATCGACATTGATTTCAAAACTGGCGATTTCAAAAGGGAGCACTGAAATCGGTTAAGGAAAGCGTTTCCAAACTTTGACAATGGTCTAAACTGACGTTTCGGATCCATAACCAGAGCGTTTCCAGGTATGACACTGTCTTTGTCGCCGTACATAACAGCGATAAAACGATCTGTGGTCGGTTCCGGACCGATTCTCATCCCTGGAAATTCCCGTTCCAGAATGTATTTTATAAATGTCGTTTTTCCGGTCGAATATTGTCCGACCAGAAGTATTAAAGGTTTGGCATCGAAATCCGGGTCATTGAGTTGCGGAGAGTGGAAATCGTTAAAATTGTACATGTCTTCTAATGGTAGAAGTTTCGACTTATATATCGTCTTTAGACCTTCCACAACCGAGTCGTAGACCTCCTGAGACTTTTCTTCCGTTTGCTTTCTGAACCAACTCTGCATGTTAAAAACTGACTGGGTGGTTTAGCAAAACGCCTAATTTCTACTTAATGACACTAATATCAAAATGACAACCATGCCACTTCAGTGTATGACAGTTATTTTATATTTTGACGACTGGATTTTCTGAAATTAATGGTGTTGAAAAATAACGTTTTTTTTTTATAAGAAATGCATTGTAGTACAAAAATCCATAATTTTCATAGAATTT